ATGACGAGATGAAAACTCCAAGTTCCCATTCTTCCTCTGGGTTTCAGAAGATACCGCCTAAGATCATCTAGGCAGAGAAGTTCGGTCGCACCGTTGCTCCTGTCCCCCAGAAGAATCCACATGAATCAAAAGTTGCCCCACAGTTTTTTAGATTCTGTCCTAACTTAGGGGTGAAGTTTGACTTTCCCTTATGGGAGCATGTATGTGTGTACGTTTATACTTTACATCCCAGCGTTATGACTTTTTGTAAGGCCCACTCTCTGTGTTGCAGACAGGTCCAACCACATCTCTTCTGACCCCTTCCCACGCCTACCAGCCGATGCTCTGGCTCAGGGCCTAGATAAACAGAAAGATCGGCGGGTTGAAGACTTCGAGGCCACCACACGTGCGTGCACATACAGGCACAGAGCCTTATCGTTCTCTCACGCGTGTATGCGTATATGTATTGGATTTGCTGTCGCGAGTGTCGTTTTCCCCATTTAATTTTCGCCTGCCGAATGGCCTCTCCTATTTCAAATCTCCACTCTGAAACCTGTAGGTCCCCCGATGGCACCTTGTGTTCCCCAACCTCCAAGTGAAGTGAGTTGAAAAGCGCCTTTGCTTTCAGTTCTTCCCTCTCCACTGTCACTTTTTATGAGAGCAATTCAAGAGCCTCAACTTGCCTTTCGAGGAACCGCTCCCTCTCTCCCTCTGGCCACAAATAGGGTTCCTTTCAGAATTATATATGCCCTCGCCTGTTTTTTAAAATTCTGTATTTGTATGCTTGTAATTTCTTCTTGGAACGTACATTTATTAGCAGAACATCTATGTTTTTCAGGGTCTCCATGTATCTAAAATATCTGTAAAGTAACTGGGGCCTAGCATGTTCAGGGCTTCCTCTTGTTCGAAGACCCTCTCTTACTGGCTTGGGTGCAAGTCTGTGAAGTGTAGATGCTTATATGTATCTACAGTTACTTACAATAATTAATCCATTAACAATTTGATATAAACAGCAGCATAGTATTAACAACCAAAAAGAAAAACGAAAAAGAAAGAAACACCACTTGGAAGGGGCTGACCCAAACTGTGAATATTTTACCAGGACATAGTGGGTGGCAGATTGGGATCATTTTTCCCCCCTCTGGGTATTCAATGGGTGTGTGCTTCAGTAAACCCCATCCCCATCATCATCATCTTGCAAAATGCAAGTCCTCTCTCCCTCAGCTGAGGCGTACACATTCTCACGGAGTGTACACACACATATTCACTCACTGCTTTTTAATTTAATTCACCCCTCTAGTTAATGAATAGGTCCATTGTAATCTAATATCTCTTACGGGTTATTTTGATTTATTCTGCATTTTTAAATCAATTAGGCTCCTTTTAATTTTTTAAAAATAATCGTAATCACGAGTATAAGGGGGGCTGAAGAGAATTCTGGGCCTCCCAACCGCTGCCATGGCATCGCGGGCGCGCATGCACACACACGCACACACACACACACACATCCTTCAATCTCCTTCGATCACTGGAACTGACATTTCTCCTGGTTAGCTTCGCTGTAGATTCTGCCTGTGCCAAAGCAGGACGTTCTCCCGGAGTAGAGTTTTGCACACTCAAGATGGATCCAGTTGAGTCACTTGTCTGAAATCTGTGAAGCTCTGGACCGAGGCTGTAAAGACAATGGGGCATATGAAATCGACTTTTCCCGAGCATCATGTTCTACTCAGACATATAAGAAGCTTCTTCGGCTTGCATCTTCCCCGTCATTCTCTCGCATCCTTCTCTTCCCTGTCCCCCCTGTCCCTTTTAACTGCGATACATTTCCTGGCTTCTCTACTCATCCTTCGTTACTGCACCACCGAGAACCCTTAGTCCCCGATTCTGTAAAGGGAGGAGTCCCCGATCATCAATCCGCCCCCCTCCCCTTATCCCTTCGGTGACCGATGCACCAAACCTGCCTTGAATGAATGGCTTTACTTTCAAAATCGCTAATAGGGACTCAGTCCGTTTCCCCTTTTCTTTACTCCTTTTGATCCTCTCCACTCTTTGACCTTCTTTTGGCTCAAGGGACGGTAGGCTCTGCCTCGGGGGATGGGGGGAGTGTATTGGGTGTGTGTGTGCTGGAAACAGTCCCCAGCTTATCTCCTTTCATCAAACCAGCCCCGGGCCCCCTGCAAACCGCGGGGCCAGTAATTGCTTTTTTCAGGCAGCCCAGTGCGGACTGGCGAGCAGCCAATCAGCGCCTTGTTTACACTGGGTGATGGACAGCGGGCTGGGGGACTGCCAACCAATCAAGGCGTCTCCTGGAAGTGGGGAAGGAAAGACTGAAGGGGGGGGGAATAAACTAAAGCCTATGCGGTTAACCTCTCAATTGCCGGTACAAAGTCGGTTGAAGGCTTCTGGTTAAAATTGGTCTTAAGAGTGATGATATCATACAGGTAGGAAACGTGAACATGACTGTCCTATTTACAAGAAAAATGGCAATTTACCGAGAGCGGCATATATTGGTGCAAACGGCGGAGGTGGGGTGTGTGTAGGGAGTCTTAACGGAGATGTGAAGCGTGGGAGACAAAAAGGGAAAGGAAAAAACGACCTGATTACAAATAAATCTCCAGTTTTGAAAACCACAGAGGATTTTGCACGTGTTTGTGAGCAAGAACTCAGAAAAGGGACTTTCCTGAGCTTGCAAAACTCCCGGTTCAGGTGGTGGCAAAGCGATTTGTGTATTCGAATTATTTAAAGACAAATCCACAGGCGCTGAAGACTCAGTGAACTATAACAGCATACTTAGGACCTAAACCACTCTAAATCTCTTGGTATTTCGTTTGTCAAGTAACTCTTAAAAGCTGCCGGAGGGCAGGCAACGCAGTCTCTCACGTCCTGATCTGTACTGTGATTTCTCACTTTTGCAGTTGTAGCGCATTGTCCAATTTATCAAAGCGAAAGGAATACCAAAAACTATCCCTCGCTACCCAGCTGATTGGTGTGAGTGAGTTCAGGTCTATGAGCTGAAGCGGCTCTCTAGTGGGACTCCCTACCTCCCCATTCTGCAAAGCTTCTCTTTCTCTCTCTCTCTGTTTCCTCCCTCCCGCTTCGCATTGCTACGCATCTCCATTCAGCTAAGCAAAGGGAAGCTGCGCGAGGGGAGCTGCGCAACTGTAGGGACTTGAATTAGGCGCCATTGGATTGAGTAGTAGTCCTGCTGTTCTCTGATTGGCAGTTCCCTGGCCCCACGCCAACCTATTGGGAAGCCTGTTTACGCAGAGAGAGTGGCACGAGCTTATTACCGTGGAGGACAAGGCGTCCAATCAGCGAGCGTGCTCACCCTGAGTGAGTGGCACGAGCTTATTAGTATGCAGGGAGAGTTGCTTGTAGGACTGAGATGCGAGGCTGGGGAAGCTGAAGCTCGCGACAGGGTCTTTTTTCCTTTCTGCAAGGAGCAGCAGCCAGTGCATTTACAGTGCAACAGTCAGCACAGTGCAAATACCAATAGGAATACAACAAAGTCCCACTCACAGATTTAATTGTATTGCGTTCCCTCTGTGCAAAGGAACACCCCTCCCTCCAGTAAGTAACTAAAATTTATTTAGCATCTTGAACGTTCATGATTTGTTGTTAAATTATTTATTGTTAATATCTGTATCTTCACAATGGTCAGTTCTAATATATATAAGGAAAATCACTGCTGCCAAAAAAATATCCTTGTATATATTTTTTAAAGCAATGCAAGTACCTGGCTATTGAAAGATGTAACAATTGTATCCATTCCTCAACTAAATTGAATATCCTTAAAAAAAAAAACTTCCTTTGGAAAAGGAGATGCATATTGTTTCTAGCAAAATGCTAACCTATGAGATATATGCATGTTCGTGTTTTATTTTTAAATAGTTCCTATTTCCTGGAAATTTTGTGCGCTGCTCCGGGTAGTGCTAACAAAATCTATGATTGTTCACACATTTCTTACCTGAAATTGTAATCAGTTTGTCTGCATTTTTTTAAATGGAACTGTAAATGGTTGCTTTGTAAGGAAAACAAATAGGCATTGTGGCAAAAGGAATGCATGTAAATTTGTAGTCTACATTTTTCTTTAAAATGAATCATAATAGAAGATCTTTATGGATTTGATTCCTTCCTGCTGAATCCTCAAGATCTGCGTCAGAAAATGCTTGAACTCTTAAGGGTTCTGAATTACAACGAAAAATGAAAACAATAAAGAAAAGAAGCATTTTATCTACCCACCGGGGTGTGCGCAAGTATACTGATCTTCCGCACAGTAAGATAACTCTGTTTTGCCGTGGAGAGAAACATGCGGTTAGGATGCATCATAAGGCTTTTTTAAAATTAAA